AACTGACACCCTCTGCCTCCACAGGCGCCGCCCTCACGTGCACAGATCCACACACAGACAAGCACCAGCACACCTAATTAAAAATAAAGTTTAAAAAACAGACAAAACCAGAGAATGTAAGATTGGAGAATTTAGACTTGAATACACAGGCAACGGGGACCAAATTTTTTAATAGGAAAATATTAATATACAGAGACAGCACACAGGACGAAGTGGAGAGAATATGGAGACACAAGACTGTAAGCAAAGAAAGCAGAAGAGTATTACAGCAAAAAAATAAAAGCCAAAATACATTACATATATGCATAAAGAAATCACAGTGAAACCCAATGTTTATGTAATTAAGGCATGCAAGCAACGGAGGGCAGAACCGACACCATGAAATACAGGGGAGGGCTGAGCAGTCGGTACAATTCAGGAACTGGCTGGGATTCCGGGATGAAAAGGAGTTCAGAGCCTGTGAAAGCTGAAGGAAAGCCTGCAGAGGTCTGCTAAGTGTTCTTAAGAAACTGGTTTGGCTCATTTATCTTGAGGTCCTTCAGAGAATCCAAACGATAATCATTCAGGATGTCAAACAGAAAAGTCAGCATGTGTGGGGTTCCAGAACAGCGGGGATTCAGTTGTCCACAGGAGACAGTTGGTAAGTGGGAAATTCAATCAAATGATACTATGTGCCAAGAACTTACACAAATATCTTAGTGAATCTTCACAACTCTCTGAAGGAAACTTCTAAAGCCATTTCACGAATGGCTCCAGTGGAGCTCCGAGAATCCAGTTAATAAGGAGCCGAGGCCAGGCAGGACTCGGCTTTTCGTCCAGGCTTCCCCGTTCACTTGTTTTCTTTCTAGTGTGTTCACAGCCATTATTAAAATGCCTTCTATTTTCCTTACCGGCCCTCCTCAAATTGTGCTACTCGTTTGTGCTTTATAGATTGAGGAGTCTTGAATGGGGCACACACCACTAAGGAAGCAGAAGCATAAGATGAGAATTTGAGGTCAGCCTGAGCTTCCTAAGGAGACACTTCCCCCAAAACCGAAAACACCCCCAACAGAACAAATAAGGCAGGTACATAGGGAAGGACTACGAGAGGCACAAAGACTGGGGGTCTAAGGTTGTCCTTGACTCCATATGGTGCTGCAGAACAGCCTAGGCTGCAGGAGACCTGCCTCAGAACACAGACTGAAAAAAGACTTCTTAGGTGAGGACAAGAAGTTAATTTAAACTGTACAGTCCTTACAAAATTACAAAACACCTTAACCTAGAAAAGTTTTGCAACTTAAATTAGCATTTGAGGATTGCTACATAAGCAGAGAGCTTGTATGCAGAGCTGAGTATCAAAGATAAATCTCAATAGAAAATGTATGGTACACATACAAACTATAACCGTCTCATTTTCCAGGCACTACTATTTCTAGTGGGGCAAATATTCAATCAGACTTTAACACAGTGACTGTCACCCTTTTGTTCATCCACAGCGGCTTTCCACCAATCACATATCAGTCATTATCCGACTCAAGTCTGTATTCCCACATCAAAATTCAGTTGCCAAAGTTAATTATTATTATTAGTTTTTTCGAGACAGGGTTTCCTTGTGTAACAGTCCTAGCTCTTGTAGACCAGGCTGGCCTCGAACTCACAGAGATCCGCCTGCCTCTGACTCCCAAGTGCTGGGATTAAAAGCATGTGCCGCCACCACCCTGCAAGTTAATTATTTTTTAAAAGAAAACACTACAAAGGAACAGTCTGACCACCTAATCTGTAGATGGAATGAGGTCACAGCATGAAGGGGAAAGACCACAGAAACTCAACAACTATCTCATGGAAAGCACATGTACAAGGAATCCATTCAAACCTTTCCTGAGCCTCTGTTGTGTTCTCAGTTGAATGGAGGACACGTAAATCAGACCTCACTCGCTGCCTGCAGTCAAGGCAGCAGTGCAGACCTGTGCAGCACTTCCAGGACGCCTTGGGGGAAGGGAACGGACTATCTCCTCCCTCCCCTCCCTGGGGGTGGGAGGGGGAGAAAGAGGAAGCTCGACAGCAATGTGGGCGGAAAGGCTTCAAAGTACAGATTTAGGAGGCTGTTTTGGTCCTGTTGGGGTTTGGTTTGACCCCAGATCAAACTCTGCATCCCTGCCTCGGTGTCCGTGTGCTGGGATTGCAGGCACACTCCACCAGGACACGCCCAGCGTTACCTGAATGGCTGTAAGAAGAAAGCAATCAGCACCACACCCTTGCATTTCCAGCTTTTTAGGAGACAGTTATACTGGAAACCGATATTGCAATCAAAGGATAGGGAGGGAAAGAAGAAACAAGATGGGCAGAGAAGGCCCACAGGGACGAGCTATGATAGGCAATAGCAAAATGAGAGGGCTTCAGTCACTGACTTGCATTAACTCTCCTTGTGAAAGCAGCCAAGTAACACCTTACAAGTAAATAAATAAATAAATAGTCCCAAACCATAAATATACATAATGGAATTGACCCTGACAATAAAGCAATATATTTTTTTTTAAAGAACTAAGGAAACTGGCAAACCTAAGAAGGTACTTTTACGTTGGAAAGAATGATGGGGGACAGGGGGCACCGGAGGCCAGGCCTAACAGCCAGAGTTCTATCCTTGGGGCCCACACGGTGGAAGGAGAGAAGCAACTCCCCAAAGTTATCCTTTGACGTCCATACTTGTGACACGTGACTGTGTGCACGCGCGTGTACACACACAAATAAATAAAAGATAATTTAAAAAATAAATAAATAAGGGCCAGAAAGGGGGCTCAGAAAGTAAAGAAAGGCGCTGGCCCCCAAGCCTAATCACCTAAGCTGGATCCCCACAATTCATGTGATGCAAAGAAACTCTTCTGACCTCTCCGAAGACAAGTGTTCTGACCTGTGTGCCCCCACCACACACAAATGAGTGTTTTTTTTAAAAAATTAAGAGTAAAAAGAGACATATTTTTGGGCATTTACATTGTTAAGAGCCTTTTCCCTCAATTAACATAATTATATTAACATATATATATCACATAATTATAAAGCCGCTTTTTTTAAAAAAAACGATATTTACTAGGCTCGTTCATGCTTCACACCAGTTTCGTCTGGGGAGGACGATTACATGTGCTTTCCAAATAAGCAACTTAATACCATCCACCTCTCAATGCTATCATGACCCACAGTGATTAAAAATAGCCTTTGTTAATTCTGAATTAACCCGAGGCCCCCATAAACTACAAGAGTACAGAAAGAGATAAAGGGCAACATTTTAATAAGGAACCAAAAGGAAAAAAAAAATGGAAAAAAGTTGAGACGTCAAGATCACATCACCCTATTCTGTTTGTTGTGGTTGGTTGTTTCGGACAGGCTCACTCTGTAGTCCAGGATAGCCTCGAACTTAGAACGATCCTCTCGCCCCAGTATGCCGAGTACTCGGAATACATGTTGGCAAGAGCCAATACACCGGACTACTTTATTCTTCAGAAAGTAACGTATGCCTTAACGTCTCAACTGAACGTTCATGTCTAAATTTTTCTTTAATAGGTCTCTTAGGCAACGTAAAAAAAAAAACCATAACAAAGGAGGCATTTACCAATTTCACGTATTAGGAGCCTGAATTGCTGCTTAGGTGTAACCTGAATTCTTATTCCTTTCCATTGCACGCTCAACTCAACTTATTGCTTTACTATTCTAGGAGTGTACAAGGCTACTCCAGCAACTTCGGAAACCAGTTCTTGGCCTTTTATAACATGAAAGAAAAAAAAAAAACTCAGCAAAAGATCATAACACTTTAAAATACTCCAAACAGACTGTAAGTCACTGCTCCCGTCAGAGCCACTCTCCGCGGTGCCATTTTCCTATAAAGTCACATAAAACGCGCTGCTGAAGTCACAGCGTGCTCCCGACGCCCAGTCCCCGCAAAGTTTTCCGAGCCCACAGTTTGCGGGCCCGAATCCTAGAGCCCCACCACTCGGAGCGTGCCGCGGGGGCCGGGTCCCAGGCTCCGGGGCGG